AATAATTCATTGAATATTTAGTATATATATATATATATATATATATATATATATATATATATATATATATATATATATATATATATATATATATATATATATATATATATATATATATATATATATATGTGTACAAATGTAAAGGAAGTATATCAAATTTTTTACCAAATCAATGAAACACTCACAATTAGAATACGGTGCTGCTGTTGAACCACATGTATAAATAGTTTGAACAATAGTCACACCACTGAGATGAGAACACCCACCACCGATCGTCTCGAAAAACAAGCGACAAATGAAAGGAAACACTTGCAGTGTGTTTAATATGCAATATTATAAATAAATAAATAAATAAACAAAAATCAGTAAATCCATTTCAAGAAAATGGAAAAATCTTTCTCGATACAGACATTAGTTCCAGTTATCGGTATAGCAGACGCTTCAGTAATCACTAGTGTTTACACTACACCAGCGGGTATAATTTGATGACATTACTTGAAGTGAATTGGCCTTATTTTAAAAAATCAAGGATGGTTGGTAAGGACTACTGAGTCAGTGGGTAAGTGTCACATTTGGGGTACTGGTCTTATACAGCAAACAGAGCTCAAAAGCTACTTTTAAATGGAAATTTGGGCGTCTTATGCACCCCGCCGCCTTATAGGCCGTGATATACGGTACAATGAAAAAAATCTTCTAAGTCCAAAGGATAAAAAGCAAAGTCCACAAAACAACACAACAAGAGATGCTAAAGTCCACACAACATAAAATAATACAAACTCCACAAACATCCAAAATATACTAAATCCAAAGACATTGAAATTATTCTAAGTCCACAGAGCATAAAATAATACTAAGTCCACAAGGGATGAACAATTCCAAGTCCACAGAGGATAACAATTATTCTAAGTCCACACAACATAAACACATACTAAGTCCACATACATTGAAAATTATTCTAAGTCCACAGACCATAAAAATAATACTAAGTCCACAAGGGATGAACAATTCTAAGTCCACAGAGGATAACAATTATTCCAAGTCCACACAACATAAACACATACCAAGTCCACATACATTGAAAATTATTCCAAGTCCACATACATCATAAATTATTCAAAGTCCACATACATTGAAAACTAATCTAAGTCCACACACGATAAAATAATACTAAGTCACAGGATACAAAAATATTATAAGTCCACAAACATTATAAATTATTCCAAGTCCACAAACATAATAAAAGAATAATAAGCCACAAGCGATAGAAAAGTTTCTGTCCACAAAGACAACAAATATTCCAACTCCACAACGGATAAAATAATAAGTCACAAACGTGAAAAACATAATAAGTCACATACATTGAACATTATTCAAAATACACACAACGGGTAAAATAATACTAAGTCCACAAACATCATCAATTATTCAAAGTCCACATACATTGAACATTATTCTAGGTCCACACAGGATAAAAATTAGTCAAAGTCCACACAACATGAACAAAAGACTGAGTCCACATTCAAAATTATTCTATGTCCACAAACAATAAAATAATACTAAGTCCACAGAGATTGAAAATTATTACAAGTCCACACAGGATAAAATAATACTAAGTCCACAAAAGAAAACAAATATTCAAAGTCCACAAACATTATACAATATTCTAAGTCCACAAACATTATACATTATTCTAAGTCCACATAAATTGAACATTAGTCTAAGTACACAAACAATAAATTATTCAAAGTCCACAAACATCATTAATTATTCCAAGTCCACATAAATTGAACATTATTTTACATACACAAACAATGAGAAATTTTCAAAGGATGACAAATATTCAAAGTCCACACAGGATAAAAACTATTCAAACTCACAAACATTATACAAAGTCCACAAAGGATCAAAAACTAGTCAAAGTCACAAACATCACAAATTATTCAAAGTCACACGATAAGAAATTAGTCAAATTCCACGGCGTAATAAGTTATTCTCGGTCAGCGTACGCCGATAATTATTACGGTCCTCGGACCCGACGAATAAACTTCGGTCCATGCGCCAAAATATACCGAGTCACAAAAAGGCAAAACAAATTCAAAGTCGACACACATTATCAATTATTCAAAGTCCACAAACTTAACAATTTCAAGTCCACAAACATGAACTTATACAAAGTCCACAAAATATCTCAAATATTCAAAGTCCACATATATGCAACACATTTTCAAGTCACAAGACAAAATATATTCAAACTCCACAAATGATTAACTTTCATCGACAAGAAAACATTTTACAACTCCACAAATAATTCTACGACCAAAACAAATAACTCCGCGACTCCGCGATTTATTGCAGCCGTTCCATCGATTCATCGACGCGCCGAATTCAGTCGACTGCGGAACTCCCGACAAAATATTCGGTCGCAAATGACTCCCTTCAAATTAAAATCCATAACTACTCCACAATACAAAATTTCATACTCATCAATTTCACAAGTCCACGACATTAACTTACACTCTTCCGCTATTTCCGATATATAACTACACCATAACGTGACGATTCGCCACGCATTTCTCCGGCGTCGCGGCGTCGATAAGTATTCAACTAAAGGCAGTGCGTGCATTCTCGACCTCGATGACAATTACTTTCCAAATCTAAATATAACTCCTCCTCTTCTTAACACCAAAATTTATTCAAATACCAACACAATATATCTACTTCACACTCCAACATATTTATAACAACACAAATAATACAATCAAAACACACACACCAGCAGTAATCAACCACATTCAATTGGTAACAACAAACGCATACAGGGACACAAACACGACCAACAGAGGGAAAGAAACAAACAAAAGAAACAAAAGGGGAGTAACAAGAGGAATGGGAGGGTGAGAAACACCAAGGTAATCACAATGAAACAGAGGGACAAGGAACAAACGAATAAACAAGGAAAGGAGCAAGAGATAAAGCAAACACAACAAGTAAAAGAAGGAAACGGGGACAAGAGGAGGAGGGACACCAGCGGGGGGGGAAGAAAGACGAACGGAGTCACAATGAAACGGAGGGACAACAAACCGCAGGATCAACAATGAAAGGCAGAAGAGATACAAAAAGGAGAACAGGAAGGCAGACGGAAAACACAAAAAAAGGGAGGGCTTACAAATTAAACATTGTGCTCGTATTCCTTCCCCTTCGACTTATCCTACTCGTCCACCAAATTTTATTATTATACAAACACCTTCACAATAAACACCTTAACACGAGTGCAGCAACACAGAGTGCAGGTGAACGAGTATAAATTCATACCGAATACGTCAAACTGCTATTAACCAAAAATATATTGCTGCTGCATCGCGTATTTCCTTACCGGTAGATACCCGCTCTCCGACGAACTGCCGCAATTACGTAAAACCCCTACACCTATCAAACCTTCCCACCATTTCAAACGCATGACTCTCGACTAACTCTACTTCCAAACCATTCTTTACACATCTCGCGGGTATACTTCCCTGCGGTACCTCGGACGCTTTCATTTCTGCGCCGCCTCGTCTCCATGCAAATTCCCGTCCGTTCTCCGTCGCCCTCTCCGTACTTCCCGCGTCGATCCTCTTTCCCGTCCCGTAAACGGACCCCGATCGACCGTCGTCCGTATCCGCAGATGCCCGCACCGCCCGCTTTACGTGCGACCCTTTCCTAAACCGGCATTTACTAAATTCGTCGTCTCTTCCGCCGATTTCCCCGCATATCCTCTACCGCGCGACTTTTTCTTCTCTTCAAAATCCCTGTCGCATCTATTTTTCACAATTATGCCACTACGCCGACTCGGTACTAGCACGTCCATACCCTACAAAATATATCATTCGTTGTCCCCCCACCACCGTCCTCATCACCTTTTACTTTATATATTCACTAATATATAACTACACTCTCTGTCCAAAACAAACCCACCAACTATCTTCCCCTTCTCATAACTCAACCAAATAGTCATCAATTCTCCATTCTTATCGGTTACCTCGATGACGCCATCCGTGTCGGTCCGATCTCCGCCGTTCTTTTACTTTCGAGAGGCGCGCGTCCCCGCAGCCGCCGCGTCGTCTCGTATTTACGCTGCCGTTATTTACGGACGTGTCCCGCCATAATGACGTGCGTGCCGCATTCGATGACGTTCCGCAATCTATTTGCAACGTGTCTACGACGATAATCTTCTCGCCAAATTAGTGCAAACCCCTAGTGATCACAGGCAACATCTTCAATAAATTCATTCTCGACATGTATCGACTTCCTCCGTCTTCACGGAGTCGGTGTCTAAAACCGTACTACAAACATTATAACAATCGTTACAAACGACACGTACATTCATTTTACACATTAAATCGCCTTTAAAACAATAACACTAGCCCGGCACTTCGCGATACAATATTGATGGGCATCTTCTTCTGCGTCGACGAGTATCTTCCCGCATTCGCCGGTGTGGTATTCTTCCCGTGTTCCCGAGCGTCTTCCTCGCGCGTCGACCGGTATCTTCGTCCACAATTGACGAGCGTCTTCGTGGCGTGGCGTCTTCGTGGCGCGGCGTCTTCGTCCTCGGTTCCCGAATGTCTTCGTCCGAACCGCTCTTACGCGCCGACCGTGCGATCCGTCTCCGTTCGTGTCTCCGACTCGTATCGCCGCTCTCGTCCGCAACTGAAACGGACAAATTACTGTGAAAATATATAAACAATTATCTACCATTACAAATTAGACTAATTCCCAAACAAACTTCATCTAAGTTCAGTCTTTCTACAGTATACCTATACACACTCACCCCACACAAACATATCTATACACCATTGCCAACTAAAACACAAGAGCATACCCACTGCAATACTCCACTACCCCGCAATTACGTCCCGCGCAAATTACTTCTCCCGCTCGTGCCGACGTCGTGCTCTGCCGTATCTCCGTAAATACCCGCGACCCTGTCGCCTAATACAAAATCAAACCGAATGCTCCTCCGCCCGTCGGTACGGTGCGCTCGTCGTCTCGTGCCGTCGCTTTGCCGCCGATCGCGAACGTCGTCGCCGCCTCGAATACTTAACAATTATCAAAAAACATACAATAAACCTATACGTAACAAAATATTAATTGTACGTATTCGTACCGTTAACGACGACTCGAGGAATCTACGAGACGATTGGGAAAGTCCACTCGATCCGGACTGGTGTACTTTACGGCCGAATGTATGTCGTGCTCTCGACGTCGTACTATTTACGTCTCGTGTACGTAACTTCCGCAGATGTCGCGTGAAAATACGCAACGACGGAGATCCGGTACGAGGATAAATGTATCAAAACTATAATAGGTGTTGGCAGTGAACCAAAAACTATACTCCAAAGGAAATATCTCGTATGCATCCGCGTGAAAATAGTGCAATGTGTCGGAGGAGGATCCCTAATTACACTTTTAAAGGAAGTGGATGTACCCACGCCATCGACGTTCGGCTTCTGTTCTGAGGGAGCGTCCCGTGTACCCGCCTCCGGCGTGCCGCGTTCCCGTTATGACCCGCAATGTGCTACTACATTCTTAACCCTTACACCCGAGGTGAAAGTTCCACAACGTCCATCTAGTCTCCCCTTCTTTGTGGGGGGAGAATTCGTCCTGTTTCTCGATTTATCCCAATACAAAGGGAGGGGGAAGTGCCAGCAGCACCCTAACCCATGGCTTATGGGTTAAACTCCCATTTTTTAATAATACTTTTCATATTGTATCCAACACTTTTACATCAGATATGAGACCTTCAATTCTATATCTCTAACCTAAGTTAAGTACTCTCATTATAACAATTGTAATGTCGATCCCTCTTCCGTCTACGCATTTTCAATAGCACCCGAGTCTTATCGTCGGTGACATTTTCATTTCTCCCTCGTTATCTTTACGTTCTACTCTTTTACTCGTAAATTCCTGTCTTATTTCCTCTCGGTAACCGGTCAAAACTTCCTCCGGTAATTCGTCGACGACTACAACGCGACCCCCGCCGTTAATGATTCGCGGTCGGGTCGACGACGCGCCGCTTAATAAATTCTCGTCTCCCTTTAAAACCTTCCACTTACTCTACGCAATTCCTACAGACACACGCCACGTACACAATCCTATTCTTCAAAGAACCATTAAGTAAATACCGTACACTGCGATATAAACATTACAATGCAGCGTCATCCGAGATTCTTACCCTCGGTTCGAGCGGCGTCCTCGGCCGGGGTCCGTCGAGTCGCCGGTCCGCACAAAAATGACGTTTCTGACTCCTGTCGGGTGACTCCGACCCGTGACTGCAAATGAAAAATTAAAGTTAAAAAATATACAGTCAATTAGACATGTAAATTATACATGAACCCTTGACAACTAACCCAAATATCTGAGTACATTCTCTAAAGACCTGGATACATTTGCCAAACATACACTTTCCATTGGAAAATCTTACATACTTAGGCAGGTATTAGGCAGCTACCAAACCGGGAGATACCGCCTCCGCGGAAAATATTGGAAGCGTAATGTGTCGTCTGCGGTACATCTCGCTGCTACGTGGCATCCCTAAAATTGTGACCGAGTCCCGGGTCGCTCGTCTGACTTTCTGCCTCCTTAACACGCGATTGCGGGGTCTCAATTTTTTCTCTTACTATTGACAACACAACATAAATATATTGTTCCTCACTTTTGATTTTCTATTTCTTTAAGGTTCTTTAGTATTGTTGTTACATATAAACTAGGTTACCCCATATTTATGTGAATATGTTTTATTTCACTTGTGGAATAAAGCGCCACTTTCAGTGCGCACGTTAGGTTTTTTTTTTTACGGACGGTCCCGAAAATACGCCGGAAAGAGCAACGTCCCTTCGTGTCGTTGTCTGAGCCTCTCGCATCGTATTTCGTTGATATCCACCAAAAAGGAACACTGTAACTTCAACAATTATTATTCTTACATTTTCGCCCCGATGTGGGTCGGTGACCCGTGCCCGGGTGGGCTAATTCCCATAAAAAAAATTACGTATTATTTATTTATTTTGCACTTTCTATACGTGCGAGTGTCGACGACAAAAATTAAGTGCGGGTTCGAGCTCCCTCGGTGCGAAATTAATCTGCCGTTATTTACACGATCTTATTTCTTCCCCGCTTTTAACGGGTCGCCGATTCAACGCGTGCCCTCGTTCTACTCCGGGGGTCGAGTGGCCTCGGGGAGTCTCGTAGGCCCTTACGGATGCACGTCGAGTGCCCGACGACGACCCCTCCGGGAACGTCGTCGCGTCGACCTCCGGCGCGACCCCCGACGAGAACGCCGCTCCGGAATTTCGACGAGACGTTTCGTCGAACGGCGTTCCGGACTATACCCTCGAAGATGACTGCGAGTGGCCTCGGACCAAACCCCGCGCCTCCTGAGACGCGGTCGAGTGAGGCTTCGGTCTACGTGCTCGCCGATCGCCGCAATATAATACTAATTAAAATGCTGTGCACTGTATGGCAAGTCTACCCTACAATGAATCCCCAAATCTGCTGTACCAAACATTCACTTGCCTAAAACGGTTAGCACAAACACATCCACCCAGGCAAAACAGGTGACTTCAATCGACTACTTTTGTTACCGACGACGAAATGTACGGCGGAGGAGCCGCGCGCTCGGCCCGAGCGTTCCTTTATTCGCGGGCCGCGGTTCCGCCGGAAGATGCCATTCCTTAATTTCTGCGACGTCAACGCCAGTCGCGCGAGTCCGGAAGCCCGTCCTCCCAATTTCTCGCACGGCAACCGCCGGACGCAACCGCCTGCCGATGCCCTCCGGGTCCCACGCCACCCAAAAAAACCCACCTAACTTTAGTGAATGGAAACGTACGTGCCCGAGAGTGGCATACGAGTATTCTACGCGTGTCGCCGCATTTATTCTCCCGCCGAATGCGTTCACCAATTCTCGACCCTGCGCATTTCGATGCGTTTTCCATTGAAGGACTAGGGTGTGGTTAGCAAATTATTTGTTCCTCTAATTGACATTTATACAACTTATAAACCCTTCTTCACACTCACACTTTATAATTACTATAGTCTTATATTTTATAGCAAACTCCAATAAACTTACCTAATATTTATCCCATTAATATCAACACTAATAACTGGTCACTTCGACTAAGTGTGTGTAGTGTAATTGTAATCACACAAAATGTTACATTATTAATAAGGTGACCATCATATACTATAAAACTTATTAAATAAACCAATAAAACACAAGTGGAAGGAACAAGAGGTAGTAGGAGAGAAAGGTGGTGGAAGGGAAGGATAATAGATAAGGAAAGGAAGAGTGGTACGTGAAGAAAGGGAGGGGGGACAGATGGTGGGATACAGGGGTGGAAGGGAAAGATAATAGATGAGGAAAGGAAGAGTGGTAAGTGGAGGGAGGGATAGATTTAGCTGGAGGAAGGGAGACGAGGTAGGTGGAGGGAGGAAGCTATGGTAGGTGGAGGGAACAAGGGGTGCTATGTGGATGAAAGGGTGGTATAGTCGTCAAACTATCTGTTAATCTTTAACGTCGTGTACTCGGAGCTTCCGTCTTCTCGAGTGCCGGAGCTCGTCGCCGCCGTTGTTTTGGGGGTCAACCGTCGGGCAAGTTTTAGCATTCTTACTTAATGAAATACTGTACATTACAAATACACGTATAATATGACCTTAAGCTAAAATAACCATTGACTGAGCTTTAGTTATCCTTAAAATAGCATCCATAAAAATACAAAAACGCGTAGGTTATTCTCGACGATTATCTTACGTCGGAGAGCGGCACTCGCCGACCCGTCTCCGGAGCGGTGACGGAGCGACGATCTACGGTTGTTCCGCGGAGGTCGTTCTTCGTGTCCGTCTCCCGGATCGCGCTTCCGCTGCTGCCGTTGCCCGAGGCGACTTCTTCTGTGGGTTAAGTTTGTGATGTGAATGCTGCCTGCATTTAATAATTATACTGCACTACATCTATACAACCATTGCATAGGGTATTATAAATCAATCATAATGACCTCATAAAATATCGTGTTGATAATTTTTAATTTGTGTCGTGTACCGGTAAGCGGAGCGTCGAGTAGCCGGAGGTGTGTCCCGGGCCGACGGTGAGACGATACCCTACGTGATGGAACTACTCTACGATCATAACTGGTCTATTGCTAAAAAATGCAATATACTGCACGCGAGACTAAGTAAACGAGTACTTCTCGCAAACGACGACGGACCGTATGACTGCGCAATAGAGGCCGAATCTCGAGCGGTCGGTGACGGACCGCCCTCGGCGTGCCCGTCGACGGACGCGCGTGATAAAAATCGCCACGACTATTTACTAAACATAGAAACGGTACGTCGACGTCGACGACCCGACGGCATTATCGAATATTACGATTGACCTCTCTTCGTCGTCGACGCGTTTACGTAAAATTGTTACCGGTCCCGTGTACGTGTCGGTTACCGATGCACGTATGGTACGACGTCGATGTGACGCGAGACGCATTCCTAGAGAGCTAATAGCTTTAAACCAAATTCGGACTCAATTAAAGTGGCTTCAATGGAACAATTTACTTTGGTACTTGAGACTAACACAAAATACTAAATAGACCGAGTATACCCAAATGCACCTCGGCCCATCTCCTACAAAACATCGTTTTTTGTAGTATCGCGTTAAAACAGACACTCGTAAATCGACGCGGCTAAAATTATGAGACGCGAAATGGCCCGTTTACTCTTGATCGGATTCATGGCAGTTGATGCCAAGGTCTAGAGCTTATTTATTTATCTGTCCTTAACAGTGACTTTCAGTTTTTCTCTTATGAAATATCACTAAACTGACTTGGAAGAATATAATTAACATTGCTGGAATTCTTATAAAATTGTGATTACTTTGAATAGAAAAATGCTATAGTTCACATACAAATGTTAGTTGTAACTAATTTTATTACAAGGGGCTACAAATTTTTATCTCTTGTGCAAAATATACAACGTTTATATTAAAATTATTAGCCGTCTTGTAACGATTTTAGCAATGCAAATTAAATTCTCCTAACTTTTGTCTGTGATATTATTTAAGATAAAGCCAGGCGACACCGACGGTTAGCACCCGGGTGAATATAATTAACATTGTTGGGATTCTTGTAACATACTGATTAATTTGTATATAAACATGCTATAATTTCCACTAGACATAACAATTTTAGTACCCAAATCAAATTAGTACAACAAAACTCCAGCTTTGCACTAAGGTCAATTATTTCTTTTAGTATGGTGTGTGCATGTAAATGGATGAAAATAAATGAAGAAATTCATGTAAATCTACCCAAAAATACACTTGAAACACTTTATATTAGAAAATGTACTACAGTACTGTACACTAATGTACAACAATTTTTATCTCTCGAGCAAAATATATGACGTTTACATTCAAATTATTGGCTGTCTTGCAAGGATTCCAGCAATGCAAATTATAATCTCCTAACTTTAATCTGAAATATTATGTAAGATAAAAACTGTAAGCCTAAAACCCTGGCTGAACAGATGGGGGAGAGGAGGGAGAGAGTTAAGACGATACGTTTGACAGTTTGAGCCGAAGGTCTCTCTGTGTTTATTTAACAGTCCTACTGAGCTTCTCTCATTTTAAAATGCCAGTGAAATGACCTGGTACAATATAATTAACATTGCTGGGATTCTTGTAACATACTGATTAATTTGAATAGAAACATGCTGTAATTTGCACTGGACAAAACAATTTTTGTACCGTAATCAAATTAGTACAAGAACACTCCGGCTTTGCACCGAGGTCGTTTATTTCTTTTACGTTTCTTTTATTAGGGTGTGTGCATGTAAATGGATAAAAATAAATTAAGAAATTGATATAAATCTACCCAAAAATACAATTGAAAAACTTTATATTATAAAATGTACTACAATTTTTTTATCTTCAACAAAATATATATAATGTTTATATTCAAATTATTGGCTGTCTTGCAAGGATTCCAGCTATGCAAATTGTAATCCCCTAACTTTAGTCTGAGATATTATATAAAATAAACACCTTAAAGCATAAAGTTTTCACCAATGTTTTGTCTGGGAACACAAGGAGGGAGGTAGCCAGCGAGCGTGGGAAGAAGGGGGAGGGGGGAAGTGAGGTGACAGTGTCTTTATTTATTTGAGATACGATTTGACAGTTGGCGCTGAAAGCCTGCCCGAGTGTTTATTTATCATTACTTGAGAGTGACTGAGCTCTTCTCATAATTTGCCACCCAAACGACCTGGTTGAATATAACTTACATTGCTGGGATTCTTGTAAGATGGTATTTGAATATCTGTATAAACAATCTATATTTGCCATAGACATAACAATTTAAGTACCACGATCGTTTAGTACACGTACAGTACGGGTTTGCACTTAGGTCCATTGTTAATCGAGGGACCGCTGTATTGCAGTGTACTTATACTGTACAATATTGACTAAATTCACTAGATAACGTACATAACTAATGGTTGGTAAAACTTGTCAAGTCTCTCGGCATGAGTGGCACGTGTTAGTGCTTGCGTCTCCCGTCGTGGAAGTCCGTTTTCTCTCGCTTCGGGATGCCCGAGTCCATTTTCTCTTAATCTTAGAGTGCAGTGCACCAGAGACTTCGTTATTCCTCAGTAATGACACAGAATTTCAAATTGCAACCCCAATTTGTTGAGGCAACTAGATATGTCCGATTACAGCAAATGTGTTATTGTCAATTTGTAGGTGAAAGATTTTATCCTCAATAGATGTAGGTTAACATTACACCTGGAGGAAAATGCTTACTAAAGCTTAAGGAATGATATTCCTTTAACACATAACATCTAGCCAGTACGGGAAGGATCGTCGTGTCTCCGTCAGGGGGTCCCGGAGTGGTGGTCCAGCAAGCGTCACGGAAGTGTTTTTTCGAGGGGGAGGGGGCACGGACGCATATGCTATCGGACGTTAACTGGCGCACGACCGTGTATGTTTTTGAAAGATGCAAATCTTCCGAGGATTCGCATCGCACGTCGCGCGAATTCGGATTGCGTGTCGTAAATGGACGCCGTGCCGGTCATTACTGGTGTAATGATTCATTGTCAGACCGAAGTTTACAGCCCAGAATTATGTCACATATAACAGCAAGCACACTACAGACCTCGTGGTACCACCACATTCCGGGTTGACACACCTCGGGTCGACCCTAGGTACTTGACCTCGCCGCTAATGACGCGAGTTAGCCGGGTGACCTACAACCTCACCTAACCAAGACACCTGGGCAGGACCACACCTGCACACAGCTATCCAGATCTAACCAGTTTAGTGATAATTGGTTAGAGGTCAAAAGCCGGTTGAGCCCCCCCCACATAAAGGCCCTACAGTCCCGTCCACCGTCATTCTGGTCATACGGATTCTCATTCTGGTTGCTGTCATCTCTCTCCCGTTCGGGTCGTCTCTCGGTTCGCTGAGCAGTCACGCACGTCCCCTCCCCGGGTCGGGAGGGGGACTTCCCGACCAGACCACGGCATCGCCAGCTAAGCGGGTTCTCCCATAGGAGGCAGCCCAGCCAGAACTCACTGGGCCTATGTCAGGGTACACGTGAGTCTTGTCAGAACGTCCTAGGGTGAGTTACCTACTGTGGGAAGTGTATTCATTCGGGTGTGTCCGAGAGTCGGTGTCGAGTAACGTAAAACATAATGTGTTAGTACCCCGATATAATAGTGATATTAATGTGTCCATGTCATTGAGTGAATTAAAGTATCGAAGACGTGTTTAACAAGTTGTCCCTTTAAGAAGTGATATATGTGTATTGACATACGAGATAAGATAAGCGTATTGACGCCGAGTAAATAACATCCCGGCCACGCTACCAAGTTTCCTATCTTTACATCCCTACTCTCTATTCTTCCTACTTATATGTAATTCTCTTCTCTGTGAGTTTGTCTCATTACACTGGGATCTTACGTCAAATGAACCGAGGAATTATCAGAAAGACGCAACGGGGCGAGAGGTGCTATTATTGGCCTTCGCGACGAGGGTACACGCAACGCTCGATAACTCGGCAGAATGGGGCGAGCGAACCCTCGGGCATCGCGATGGGTTACCCGCCGCTAAACGACGGGCGACGTGCCGATTAAAATCTCATTTTGACGTTAAACCGACACCATTTACGTATCAATAATATTTGGCAGATCCCATTTAGACCGATATATTGTATATTGCTGTAGCTGTTCACTCTAATATCAACTACTATTTGCTCGGTCACTCCTCAAAAATCAGACGTGTCGTCGACGACTATATTGTGCATCTCCGTACGAATGAAACCTTCACTACGACACGGTGGCAAAACGTATGCCCCGAGGTCCGTCTCGGTCTCGCTCGTGACGTTCCAAAACTCTTCCATATATTTTGATATTGTAATCCTCAGTTGGGGGCCTTGCTTCTACCCAGCAAGATATATACATTAATATAGCTTAATGGATTTCTTGTTATAGTAAAACATATACAGTTGTATGTCACGCAAGGATGACTCCCTCGCTACCCGCTCTCTATAGCTGTTGCTGATGCACTGGAGATCACATCAATGTATTTCATCTAGCGTTTCAAATTTTACCGCTAGCAAATCTATCGAAACTTTTTCGAGACTACATAATTTGGGGGGAACTTTTTTCATTGTAGAAAAGTATCTTGGCGAGTTTATAGGAATATTGATTCGATTTAATATAAGTTTTTAAGGCATAATACTCTTATAAACTGGGGAATGCCTGTAGAACTTTCCTAACATTCAAAGTACCACAACAATATTAAATACAATACCACAGAGTACTTGAGGTCTAGTTAGCTTCAGGTCCAGTTAACTTCAAGTCCTGTTCACTTCAAGTCCAGTTAACTTTATGTCCAGCCAACTTCATTCTAGTTCACATTAGGTCCAAAGATTCAGGTCCACTTTAGGCAGTGATGGAGAAAGTACCTGAAAATATTACTTAAGATAAGGTACTGCACTGTTCAAAGGGAAACATTAAAACTTATACAAAGTAGTCTTCTTCAAAACTATGCAAATAAAAGTTTCATTAACTGAATTGAAACATACAAGTAGAAAAAGGTATAAAAAGTAGTACAGCATTTGTAAAGAATCATAATTAATAAACAATGACATTATGCTTTGAAAACGAAGCTAAAAGTTATTAATATACTGTACTGTACTTAAAATAAAAAGAAAATAAACAGACATTCAAAATTTTGTATGGGATGGAAAACGTGAATCTGGACCATATTTTTGAGAGGTCCCGTACCACCGACACCAATGGGACGTGACTTTAGACACAAACATCTATATAAATGTCCACTTTTATAGGATTACTGTACAAGTGCGTCTTAAATACAAGTACTGTACTCTAATGCACTCGGCTTGTACGCCAACGACACGACGTGAAGTAAAGACGTCGGTCTTACCTCCGGCGGGTCGGCAGCGTTTCTCCGTTAACGGCGTCGTATGCGAGACCGGATGGATCTGTACGGTCGAGTCTGAACTTGCCATGGAGATGTGTTGTTGGTCCTTGAAGCTTTCTGGAAATGTCACCAATAGCTATATAATACACAACACTGTAAATCTATTATATTATAGACGGGCTATTTGACCAGGACTCGGCACAATAACCGCTGGTTATTTGACCGGGATCTAAAATAAAACTAAATCCTTTTGGCAACAGAAAATTATACAATTAAATAAGACCATAGTGTAATGACTAGTTTAATGCCCACAATCATCCCCACTACAATCCCATTAAAATTCCATACAATCCTCGCAGGTCCCGGTCAAATAGCCGACGGTTATTTGGCCCAGAATCCGGGTCAAATAACAACTTCGCATTTAAAGCAAAGGTTACTTATTAGTTTAATACCACACGGAGAAACTGATTACTCAAATAGGTTAGGTTAGGTTGAAATTGGGTTTATCCAATGGTTTTTGATGTATTTTGAACGATTGTGACCTTCGGAAAATAGGTGCACAGCCAAAACGATAATTTTACCCGCTTTTATTTGTATTTTTTCTAATAAATAAATATGATCTTA